TATAAAATTGTCTCTTGAATCACCAAAGATGATTAATTATTTGTGTTTATTTCAGTATTTAAAGCATCTTTTAGTCTCTCTCTATTTTTTTTTCCTATTTGGAATATAAACACTACTTAATATAAAGTATTCTAAATTAATTTTAATATATATTCGTCTCAATAAGTACTTATAAATTACGAAGCAAATAACTATAATAAAATACCATGCATGCATAAGGCATAAAGGCCATCAGTAATAATTCTCCTTAAAGGGCTAGCCACACTGCGCGCATCGCGCGCGTAAGAATTCCTAGTTATAATATAAAGTATTGTTGGTAGGAGAGAGAAATGATAAAAAGTAGTATAATTGGAGTTGGTAGGAAAGAGAAATAATAAAATATTTATTAAAGTGAGGTTAGTGGGAGAGATAAATTATAAAATAATGGTGGGTTCTTGCAAAAAATAGTAGTGTTGCAATTATTATAAAACGACCGAAAATGAAAAAGCAGTGTTGCATTTAATATGAAACGAAGGGAGTATATTTTCATAAAGATTTGGCCAAAAAAAGAAAAGGAAAGTAAAAATGGCGGGAAAATATTTAACCAGAGGATGTCATGTGTCATCTTTGATTTCGCCTTTAGTATATAGTTATTGATTTTCAAGATATTTATTTCATATCTAGTAACAAATTGATTTTATGATGGTAATGGGTAAATAATCTCTCTTAGGCCGTGTTTGGTTGACATGGGAATTAATTCCCATAGGAAATTGCATTTCATGGGAACTTATTTCCCTCATAAACTTCCTAGGAATTTCCTAAATTTGTTTGGTTGGCAATGTGAGAATTTAGAAATCCCATGAATTTTGATTGATCGGAGGGGGGGGGGGGCTAGGTAATTTACTTCCCTTGTTTTGTGGGAAGTTGAAATTCCCATGAATTTCCACTTCGCCCATTTTTGCTTTTTTGTGTCAGCTGAACAACTTCTCGATTTATCAAATCCTATGAATTTCCACTTCCCCCATTTTATGTTGTCAACCAAACAAGGCCTTATTTTCCAATACTCCATATTTTATAAATTCGTGTTAATGCATGAAAGAAACTTAGTTGGACAATTGGATCCTGTTCTGTTTATCTAATCTTCATTTATTTTAAGTATAATAAGGGTTGTTAATAAGTTCAAATACATTAGATAAGATAAATTTAGAAAAGTAACTTCCAATAAGGGTTAAAAATTAAAGACCAACGCTCAAGCTCAATATATAATTAAAATAAGGTCTTGTAAGATATAATCAACTCAAATAAGTTGAAGTAAGTCTAAACAAGATCAAATTAGATGAGAATAATCAAGATAAAATTCAGTTCAGATAAATGAAAATTCCTGCATGACTCCATTCTTCCTAAACTCCTATTGCTATGTCTATGAATAGCCAAGCTAATAATATCTCATTCAGTCATTCTGCCTAGTCTCATCCTTTCTTTATACTACCAATCTATCATAGACCTCTGCGGTTTCTTTTTCATTTTTTGTGTTTTGTATGGGGGTCTTATTATCTTAGCCTATCTATCTATAATCTATATCTATATCTATACTTATATATTAAAAAGCGTTCCTAGCACAGGATATATGCCACATGGCACCCTTCACATGTATTAGAAGTATGCTACATCACCGTAATATGCCACACCATCCATTGTACTATAAACATGTTTCAATTGCAATAAAAATGTTGATCACAAGGTTTGAAAACAAGACAAATAACAAATGAATTAATGTTCTTACCAACTTTGCTATCTTTTAATTATGCTTCAGATTCAATTATAATACACTAAATACTTTAATTTGTACAAAACATCAATTTGAGAGCATTTATTTAGTTTCATTAGTTATTATTGTCCACTTTTTTTTTTTTTTTTTTGTAATTACATAATTTATGATTTTACAGCTCAAATAATATGTATTGATATTCAAAACAAAACCCGGTGCATTGCCTAGGCCCTCACACTAGTAATATTATTAAAACACAATGGGACAACATTCTAACGCCATGTGTCACAATTCCCTCAATATGATTTGGCGCCACATCATAGCTATATGTCACCCTTACATGTCACCCTATGTGTTATTACTCTAAAACTCTTCATATGTGTAACCTTCATACTTAATTTCCTCTAAAATAATGTAGCCTCTAAGTAATTGCACAATAAATTACAATTTAATTTGTAAGAAATTAATCACATACTAATGGTTGTTGATTCCTTAGCTTGGATTCCCTTCCGATTTCAGAAGATCCCGAGATTGATTCTCACCCTTGCCCTTGTGGCTCTCTAAACAACAAATTTTTTCTTTTTCCTTTTTTAAAATTTTATTTTAAACTAAAATTAACGTAATTTTTTCATTTTGTATTTAAATAAAATCCGGGGCATCGTCCGAGCCACAAACTACTTAGGTGACTAAATACAATTAAAGTTTTCGCGTCCTAACATCAATAATATATACTCCGTAGTTTAGTTGTTGCTATCAAGCTAAGTATCGACACATAATTGGAAAAATCAACAAGTTCTCAACGAAAAAAGAAGGGGTGAGACTTGAGGGTTATAAATCTTGAAGATAAGTCAGTGTACTAGACTCCAACCGCTTCATCACAATAAGAAAAAAGATATGCATGCAAAAACAATTCAATGGAGACAAGGTAAGACCTCCTAAATATCAATCAAAGAAACATGTCTCATGGGTTAATTAGCTTTATGACAGTGCATTATTAACTTGATCAATTTGCTGTAGCCTGTAGATTGTAGAAACTTGTATGTTTGTTCTGAATAGAAGTAGGACCTAAGTATGGCAAAAAATAAAATAAAAAAATAAAAGTTAACCAATCACACGCACAAGCTAGCTTTTCGCTACAGGACTCGATAAAAATAGACAACACCATGTCATTGAATTGGCATAAGTAATGTTTGTAAGATCAAACTTATTTAAGCTTAAACTTCTCACATATCAATCAATCAACCCGATCCGACTGTACAAACTAGTGCTTGAGATTAGCGTAGAGATTAATTAAAACTATCATCTCCAGCATGCTTGGTTAAATTGTTGAGAAGAGAAATGCCTACTATGAAGAACTCATAAAGGCTAAGGTATTACACATATGCCTGGATTCCTTAACACCTAAGGCTTGGTTATTAGTTTTTTTTTTAAAAAAAAGAAAATTTTATGTGTATCTAACTTTATATTCACCCGGCTGGCTTAAATACAATGGTTTTTTTTGCACCTGTGACTAGTAACAAACATAGTCAGACATGGGTTTTGAAGACTGTGTAAAGGTTATACTCGTAGTGCAAACAATAAAGGACAAAGAGAGTAAGAATAATGAATATAAAAAAAAAATGTATAGAACGGACTCACGGGTTCATTTAAAATCCCGCGCGCGGCTTGATCATATATATGAATATTTCTCAAATTGTTCTTCTTTCTCGCCCACTATTTACTCCATTGCTCCGGCCGTTTTTTTCCTTTTCTCCCACGATTTACTCAATAACTTCATTTACTCCATTACTCCACAATGTCGGGCGATTCTTTAGGGCTCAAAGATTTTGAGCCTCTCAAAGTATATGTTAACCAAAGAAATGTAAATTCTCACAATAAAAGGATGACAAGTTTAATTTTTTAATCCGTTCTATACAATTTTCTTTCGTTTTCAAATTATTACCTATTTTACTAATTTAATGTTTATAAATTCTTTTTTTATTTTATTTTATTTTATTTTATTTTTACTTAAATTTACAGACAACTTTCTGAAGCTTCACCAAAGAAGTGTGGTCGTAAACCAAGGAATGATGTTGTTCAAAAGAATCAGTTTTTAGGTTAGCAATTCTATACAATTTAAATTACTTTGTAAAAAGTGCAATGTGATTTATTTTTTTTTTCAATTTAGATATTTGTGTATAGTATAGTATTAGTTATTAAATTTTTTTATGTATTATGCTATTTTTTCAATAATGTGTTTGTAATGTTAGGGTTTTATATTATTTTTGTTTGAAAATAGATTAGTACTGTCAATTTTATATTACTTTTTTTCTATAACAGCTTTGTTTAGTCATGTATTATGTTGCTTTTATTTGATTATAGCTTTGTATAGTCAGGTATTAAGTTGCTTTTGTTTGATTATAGCTTATCTTGGAAAGAATTCTTCATGAATCCTGCAGTTAATAATAGATCAAGTAAATTGTTAATTGATGAATCAGGAGTGCTTCATATTGGGATAACTATAAAACCTATAATGTAGAAGAGTATGAGTATTAGATAACCAAGTCTAAGTAGACAAAATTCAACTCTAATAAAGATGAAAGAACAAGTTGATGAAAAGCCAGAAGAGAATGAAGAAGAAATATTAGCCTTAATAAACAAGCTAAATGAAAATTATGAAACTAAGAAAGTCTTAAAACAACCAGCAAGACGTAGTATTAATATTGGTTCTAATTAAGAGGTAAATGAAGATCCAAATAGTCCTATTATTGACAAAAGAAAGGTAATTGGATATAAGAACAAAACTATGAGTGAACCGGTATACGAAGATGAAGTTAATATGCAAATGGAAGTTTGTATGTAATAAAATATCTAGAACTTATCCTAATAGCATTTACATTCCAATTGATATATGCATTGAAAATTATACTTAGTAATAAATATAAATTATGCGCATACTACGCCAAAAATAACATTTTATAGCAGTTTTATTTGCTTTTTACAGCGGTTTTCAGACCGCAGTTTTAATCGCTCCGTTGTTAAAGTGCTCCGTTGTTAAAGTGAAACATACCTTTTTACAGTGGTTTAGAAAAATGCTATTAAAAGTCTTATTTTAACAGCGGTTGCATATAAACCGGTATTAAAAGCAATTTAATTTTTTGTAAAAAAATTAATAAATTATATCTCAATCTTAACGCCAACTAGAAGCATTGTATCCATTTTCAGGGAAAAATAAACAATAATATAAGTAATGTGTTTGTAATCGAGAGGAAAATTATACACATTAATCACCCATTTTTATTCAACTTATTGGAACAAAAACAATATTCTAAAAGTATATAGATTTACAGAATACAAGTAATAAATATTAAATTCCTAAACAAAATCAAAATGAAAAATGAAAAAAAAAAAAAAAAAAATGAAGAATGATAAGATTGATAACAATTACTTAATAACAAGATAATTCCGTAGAACCTCGAAGCCGATAATCTTAACCCATTAAATTTGGGCAAAAAAATTTATTCGTAATTGATGATAACGATGATTGCACACCATAAGATTAAGTTTCCTGCAATAATCAAAACCCCACATTCATAAATTCATGATGAAATTATAATTGAACAAATCTAAGAAAAATATAATTGAATTGGGGAAATCACCTGTAATTGGGAAGGAAATATGATAAGAGGGATAGTAAAAGCTGCGAGAATTGATGCAACAAGACTATTAGATAATTAAATTGGGGAAAATTATAATTGAATTGAATAAAATCAAATCTAATAGAATGAAAATGAAAAAAAAAATAAAAAAGATAAGAGGAAAAAATGAGCAAAAAACGTACGACTGAGAAGAACTCCTTCAGATCTCGACCAAGAAGAATACGGTGAAGCAACCAATTTTATAATGCTCTTTGCTATTCTGATTTTCAGTTTTGATCTGGAAATATAAAAAAAAATTATTAGTAAAGCTTAAAGATGCAGTACAACAATGGAAATGGAAATAAAGAAGTGGAAAAAAGTTAATCTACATTTGCAGCTGAACTACAAAAAGTTCTGTTGGGCGGCTTCATCAATCGTAGGGTTATACGTTTCCCTTTTTTGAAAAAATTATAAAAATAGTCTTTAACAACAGTTTCCCATAACTGCTATTATATTAACACTTATTACAATAGCGAGACTTGCAAAGCCGCTATAAAAGTAATGCTGTAAAAGGCTAAATCTGGCGTGGTTATATTAATAGTGGTTGTTTTACATATTTTGAAAATAGATCATTATTTTTAGAATTTTTGTGGAAAATAAGGCTAAAAATCCTATATAAGTTAGAATTGCAAATAACAGTGTCATGATGCATACAGAAATAATTGAAGAATTACCAATAGAAATTGGAGGAGTTCAATGTGTTATTCCTATTTTATGGGCTACTGATCAACCTAGTCATGATATAATGGTCAAAGATTATATTCCCATGCACCCAAACCATTGATCAAACTATCTTCACTGTTAATGGTCATTCTGTTCATATTTAGAAAATAACAAAGGCTTATACTCATCAGACTATGGATGTTACGCGCAGCCAGCGTGGTGATATGGTTACACCTACACAACGAGAGGTTGCACTTAGAATTCCTGAGTATGAATCGTCATTAATAGATCAAATAATTAAAAAAAATTATGTGAAAAAATTATATTCAACAAATCCATTAGAACATTGGGAAAAGGATAAGGCATTTGCTAAGATAACATTAACAAATCCGAATAAGATTATTAGAGTTAGACAAATGGTCTATACCTACCAAGATATATTGGAATTTGATGAGCAAATAAAAGAATTGTTGAATAAGAAGTTTATTAGGAATAGCAAAAGTCCTCATAATAATCCATCATTCATGGTAAGAAATCATACAAAAGAAGAAAGAGGTAAAGCTAGAATAGTCATTAATTATAAACAGCTAAATGATAATACTGTGTTTGATGGCTATTACATTCCAAACAAAACTGTGTTATTCAATAGAATTCAAGGAGCCACCTGGTTTTCTAAAATGGATTGTAAGAGTGGTTACTAGCAAATTAAAATGGAAAAATAAATCATTCTATTAACTGCATTTAGTGCCCCTCAAGGGCATTATGAATGGTTAATAATGCCTTTTAGATTAAAAAATGCTCCACAAATATTTCAGAGAAGAATGGATAGTATAATCATAGAACTTAATCATTATTGTTTGTGTAGGATTTTAGATACTATAAGAGAAATTGCATGAATCATATTCATAAGCATCTAATAACCAAGATCTTTGCACAACACATAAATAACACATAATTATACCTTTAAAGCGTGATTCCAGGAGTGATCGAGCAAGAACAATAAAGAGAAATAGGACCGCAAACGTGATTCCTCTACTTGGTCCACGGGCAAGGATTAAACCTCCCCTAATGCTAGTTAGTCGTGATTGAAATCTTCAATCAACCTTCTACGGAGAGGGAGGAATGAATGAGCCACGAACCACCACACCACCACCGAGCACCACCTTGGCCGGCCGTCCATACCGTACGGACAGGGAGGAGGGGAGAGAGAGAGGCGTGCGTGAGAGAGAGAGAATAGGGTTAGGGAATCAGGTTGCTTGCTTCACAATTCACTGCTTGGGTTAATTATGTCTTATGTTATAACCTAGGCAAGACCTCTATTTATATATCACATATATAATTAGAGTCCATGTGAAGCCCAAACTCCTAACCCAATCCAAACTACTCTAGCCTTCCTACTTACATGGCTTGTCATTACCTCATGAGGCCCATTAATGAGCTTCATATTTGTTCAATCCAAAACCCTTGTGTGTGACCTTATAGGATCCATTCTATTGGGCTTTGGACTATTTGACTAGCCCAAAGATAATTTATCATATCTAGCAATAGACAATGACGACCCAAAAGAATGAACTAATTATTTCCATAATAATGATCCTTGATATATCTAGTAATTGCACTTGACGAAGACACAAATCATTCAATCTCCTACTTGTCTGAGACAAGTGTACAATATTCAAATTTCTTAAGGCAATGTGTGTCGATTTGATAATGTGATTGCATCTCATGTCGTGATTATATTAATCTATAAATCTTTTCTTGAAAACTGAGTTAGAATTACAAAACAAATGATTACTATGTAATCCATTTGAACACGGCCATGCATTTTCTGAATTCTCCCTCTTCAAGGGGCTAAGACACATTCCTATTAAATAGGTAGACTCAATCCAATCTTGTGGCAACCAAAACTCCCACTCAACTTTTAAAGTAACCAGGAAACACCTTTTATAGTACCCTTTTATGTAATGACGTTTGAGTGTACCACAATTAAATCAATCATTGAATGAAATCAATGTTCAACTCATGTCAAAGGAATCCACTAATATATCCGGAAGCTCTATACTTGAACTTCAAAGTAGGTCAATAGCTCGATCATGCATCATTCATGCATATCCATGTGATTGACCAAGCATCTCTATGCCCCTATAGCCCATGAAACTGCACTATCCAATCAATCTTACATGATAGTCCATTAATTGAAATCATTTATGTCTAATTTAATGATTTTGAACTAGGAACTTAAATAATTTATGAATTTATTTCACCTGTGGGGTTTCATTCATCAAATCACGTATTTGATGATCCCATCAATTCATAATTATTTTGGAAAATTTTATTTAACATCAAAAACCATATTTAAATAAGAGAAATGATAAATTTCTGATTAAACATAATTCTACAAGTTAATGTATTACATATGTAATAAGTTTTCTCAAAACAAATACAACTTAAATTACATAACTTGCTTCAATCCAGAAGCCCTAGAGTGAGCCTCATGCTTGGGCTGTGGAAGGGGTTTAGTAAGCGGATCAGTGATGTTCTCATACATATGAACTTTGCAGATCTTAACATCCCGCCTGCCAACGATCTCTCGAATGAGGTGATACTTCCTCTCAACATGTTTGGATTTGTAATGTGACCTTGACTCCTTTGATTGAGCAATGGCGCCATTGTTGTCACATAACAACTTAATTCCTTCTTGAGCAAGAGGTACAATTTCTAGCTCTGTAAGGAACTTCTTGATCCAAACTGCTTCCGTAGCTGCTTCTACCACAACCAAATACCCAAATTCTGTCGTAGAGTCTGCGATAGTGCTTTGCTTCGAACTCTTCCAACTCATTGCTTCTCCATTTAGACGGAAAATGTACCCAGACTGGGATTTGAAATCATCTCTGTCTGTTTGGAAACTCGCATCCGTATAGACCTTGACAACCAACTCATTTTCGCCACCATAAACTAGAAACATTCCTTTAGTCCTTCTCAAGTACTTAAGGATGTTCTTGGAAGCTGTCCAGTGTGCTTCACCTGGATTTGCCTGAAACCTGCTACACATGCTTAGGACATATGCAACATCCGACCTTGTACATATCATGGAATACATAATGGAGCCTATTGCAGAGGCATAAGGTACATTAGCCATACACTTCAACTCTTTTGGCTTTTGAGGGCACTGAGTTTTACTAAGCGTAATACCATGAGACATGGGAAGAAATCCTCTCTTGGAGTCTTTCATGTCGAACCTGTCAAGGATCTTATCAATTTAAGTCTCTTGACTAAGTCCAATCATCCTTCAAGACCTATCTCGATGGATCTTGATTCCCAATATGTATTATATTCGGCCTCACCCAAGTCTTTCATGGAGAAACAACTCTTTAACCATTCCTTGACTGACTCAAGCATTGGTATATCCTTCCCCATGAGCAGTATGTCATCTACATACAAGACTAAGAAAACTAGGCTACTCCTACTAGACTTCTTGTATACACAAGGTTCTTCTTCGCTCTTGAGAGAACCAAACTATTTGATTGCCTCATCAAAACGAATGCTCCAACTCCTCGATGCTTGCTTCAATCCATAAATGGAATTCTGAAGTTTGCATACCTTTCCAGGATTTTATGGATCTTCAAAACCCTCAGGTTGTGTCATATACACATCCTCCTTCAAGAACCCATTCAATAAGGCGGTTTTGACATCCATCTACCAAATTTCGTAATCAAAAAATGCAGCAATCACTAGAAGAATCTGAATAGACTTAAGCATTGCTACTGGGGAAAAAGGTTTCATCATAGTTTATACCATGAATTTGTCTGAACCCTTTTGCAACCAGTCTTGTTTTATAGATGTAGGCATTTCCATCTTTGTCAGTCTTGATCTTGTAGACCCATTTGCAACTAATGGGTTTGACCCCATTAGGCAAGTCTACAAGGGCCCACACATCATTTTTAGACATGGAGTCCATTTCGGATTTCATGGCCTCAAGCCATTTCTCTGAATCGGGGCTCGCCAAAGCCTACTTGTAGGTTGTGGATTCTGCACTCTCTAATAGGAAGATTTCAGAATCCTCAGTTAACAGAACATCAACAAACTGTTTGTTTCTGATTCTGCTAGACCTGCGTGAGGTAGGAGCAACAATAGAAATGCTCTCTTCAACTCCTTGAAGATTTTCGCAAGAATTAGATTCAAGTGGGACGGTAGGAGTTTCGCTAGTTGAATTAGCTTGCTCCGATGCATGATTTGTCAAACTAGTTGACTCATGTGCCCTCGCCTCTAACGTTATCCACATCCATTTGTTGTTCGTCTCGAATTTCTTCGAGAACCACTTTACTCCCACTTAGCTTTGTAGAAAGAAATTCCCTTTCTAAAAAGGCACCATCGTGAGCAACAAACACATTGTTATCTTCGTGATTGTAGAAGTAATACCCTTTGTTTCCTTGGGATAACCCACGAAGAAACATTTGTCTGATTTAGGGAATAGTTTATCGCGTTGTAAACGTTTTACATAGACAACTTTGGAACTTTTCTAGTCCATAACTCATATGGTGTGTTCTCAACTGCTTTGGACGGGCTTTTGTTTAGTATGTTCGCAGCCGTCTCTAATGCATATCCCCTAAAACGATATATGCAGATCAGTAAAGTTCATCATGGATCCAACCATGTCAAGCAAAGTTCGATTCCTCCTTTCTAACACACCATTTAACTATGGTGTTCCTGAAGGAGTTAATTGTGAAAGTATTCCACAATCCCTTAGATGATAATCAAAATCTTGAGTCAAATATTCACCACCACGATTAGATCGCAGTGCTTTAATTGGTTTCCCAAGCTGAT